GACGCCGAAAGAACCAGAGGCAACATACACAAAATGTAGAAGAAGCAAAACAGAGTAGAAAGAACAGCAAGCAACTGAAACACGTACGCTTATGCTTTCGGCTGGCAGGAGAAAAGAAACAGAACCAGGGACGAACGCATGCATGAAGGAAACGGCACAGCAGAGAAAGCAGATGGGACGGCACAGAAAATAGAGACAGAAATGCAGAAGAAGCAGAGCAAGAGAGTAATGATTCACGTTGTCCATTCTCTATATAAGGAGAAGACGAGGACAGCGAAAGAGGGGGAGAAGGTAAAAAAACAAAGGAAGAGGGACCGAAGGACATGAAGCAGAGAGCTAAGACGAGAAGGAGAGAGAGTTGAGACAAAAACGAAGAAGGAGGAGTCTGGAGAGGAAGAGAATACGGTCACAGGGAAGAGAGAACTCTGACAGAGGAGAGAGAGGAACGAAAGATATGAAGCGGAGGCTGAGACGAAGGAGAGGGTGAAAACAGAGGCAAGAGAGGAGGTGACGGAGGAGCTTTTCTTTTTGGAAAAGCTGAGAAGGAGAAGAGGGAGACCAAAAGCTGAATGAAGAAAAAACAGAGCAAGAGGAGGAAGGAAAGAGCACAAGAAACTGAGAAAAGAGAGAGTCCGAGAAAGGTAAAAGCAAGAGACCGAGAGAGGTGAGTCTTTTTCTGGAAAAACGGGGACTGAGTAAACTGAGAAGGGACGTGAAAACTGAACGAAAAATAGAGACTGAGTAAGCCGGGAGATTTGAGGAAACTGAACGTGAGGAAAGAGGAAATCGAGACAGAGAGAAACCGAAATCAGAGAGGAGAAAGGAGAAAAGGACCTGCGTTTTTTTTTTAGAGTGAAGGAAGAAGACGTGCTGCTCAGGTTCTTTAACCTGCTTGTTTCTAAATTTGGATATTTCATATTTGATTTCAGTTTGTCGTTGCCAAACAAATTTTAAAGCTTCGATCAGTGCTGGGTCCTTAAAAAATTTCTGAACGAAAGGTTGACATATGCCTCTTTGAGCGTTTAGATGCTTGCAATTCATTAGAATTTTTGTTGGGTATGGAATTTGGCTTTTTTTTTTAAGGTATTCTTGTTGTGAGTACTGCAAAAATTTGACATATGTTCATGTATGGCTTGAAAGATGCAAGAGTGTGAAGAAGAATGATAAGAAAATTATAAATAAAATTTTTGCTTGCTATCATAACTAGCGTGATTTGATTTTGAGCATGATCTCATTATAATTTTATCTCAGATAATGAAAATTAGTGGGATTATTAGACATGTTTTTTTTAAATATGTTTTTACCCTAAAAGGATATGTGGATATGTGGTGGATTGGCGTTGATCATTATATTGATAGAGGCCCTTTATCTATTTGTAATGTCTCAACATGATTCTCTACCTTCTTTATCTATTTGCATTATGCCATCACCAGAAGGGAGTTCCATTGTTAGGTATTTTGAACTTTAAAATTGAAATCCAATAAAATAAGAGAGTATATATTGTTTGTTAATTATTTGCCATGAGAAATTTTAAAAATTTCCGCAGGCATTTAAAATGATCTCATATCGTGTAAATCAATAAGATTTCACAGATATGAGAGCAAAACGTATATATTAAAAAAATTAACTCTCCTTTTATAATCCAAATTAATAATTTATTTAAATCTCATGTGAGGTTTCAAGAATCTCTGTAGAGACTTGAATTAATCACCTCATCGTGTAGGATAATAAGTCCTCGCAGATATAGTAATTCTCAATTTTTATAATAATAAATGATTTTTGCAAATAATCATATAATACAATCTAGAAAATTAATCAACCAAAATTAATGTATTTACATTGTAATCTAATTGTATCTTTTAATCATGAGAGATTTTTGAATCTCTGTAGATTTCTAAGATAATCGTATTATCGTATGAGTCAATAAGACTCTGCAGATACAACGATTAAGTTTTTAAAATATGTATATAAATTATATATTAAATTAATTAAATTAAAGATGTATTTAAATTTAATTCCTTTATCGTGTGAGATTTTAGAATCTCCACAGATATTTACGATAATCATATTACCGTATAAGCCAATAAGGTAATGCAGGTATGATGATTAAAATTCTTCAAAACATGTATATATATGCTAAAAAATTTATTATCAACACTTAAAAATGTACATAAGAATATAAATAAATAAATTAAATCGCCAAACTCTTTTATCGTGTGAGATTTCAGATTCTCCACAGATATTTAGAGCAATTGTATTACCGTATGAACTAATAAGGTTCTGCAGGTACTGCGATTAAAATTCCTAATCATAAAACATAAAGAAAAATAATTTTAAACACTTTCCTTTCTTTATTCCAAAAATTCAAAAATGGAGAAAATAATTAAAATTAAATTACCTTTTGCAATTTAAAACACACATATCAAGATTTCAAAAATTATTTTATTTGCAAAATAATGAATTATTTTTAATTAATTTCTCTTTAAAAAATATTTTCACTAACAAACTTTTAAGCCCGAACTGTGTGGACTTTGATCCCCATCACAGGGTACGTAGGCCTCAGAGTCAGATTCTGAGTTAAGTCTGTCTTCCCTCGTAAATAAATAAATATTTCTTACTTAATTCTTATCATTTTTTTAAAACATATGAATATAAAAGGGATAATTAAAATAATTATAAAACCATATTAATATAGCACAACAAACCTCAGGTAACCATTCTGATGAACGGGTGTTGTGGGGTGCCTAACACCTTCCCCACACTCAACCGACTCCTGAACCTATTCTCTGATTTCGCAGACCATCCTTATCCTCCTTTTAAACAGTTTTTCGATATTTACCTCAAAATCTTGGTGGCGACTCCTCGTTCGATCCGGTTCCCGCCGCGAAGGCCGGGACCTTCGCTCGAGCGCCGTCCGCATTGCATTTTTTCGGGTGCAATAGTCGTGACTTTCATTCATGACTTTTGCCACTATCAAAAAAACACTACGTATTATTAAGTCTAAAATTGGTTAGGTAGGACATATATATTCAGAGAGCTCGACCTATAAGCTATTCTTCTCACCTTTAGACATATTTAGAACTTGTGTATACTAGGGTTTGGGCATTGGAAGTGCTTGGAGCAAGGGAATGGAGTTTTGAAAACATTTGGAGCTCCTTTTCTTTGTTTTTTCTAATCCTCTTCCCTTTCCTATCTTGTAATTTGAATGAGTCCAATTATTTTGTATATTTGTAACTTATGGATGATTATGAGTAGCTAAATTTTTTGTTCTAGGATTATTTGAAGCCCTTGTATGGATTAACACTAAGTTCCTCCTCTCTTTTTGTAATTAATGATATATATATATATATATTTGTGTGTGTGCGCGTTTTTATTTTACTCTTTTTTTAATGCTTCTAAGTGATTGGCTACTATTTAGATGTTGAGTTTACTTGATTAGTGCTTGAGAGGGCTAGGTTGAGTGTAGAACTTAGGTAAAATAGTGCAAGGACTTGATATTTGCATGTTGAATGGATAATTTTGCTAATAAGATAAAGATATACTTGCTAGTCTTGCATGGCCATATTAAGATTGGTGTTTAAAATTGAGTTTTATTAATTGTAACAAGAGATTGAGCAATTAATTTAACTAAACACTTGTTCATGATTTGAGAGAGTTTGTTCAAATATTTTTAGAACCTTAGATTAACACTTATTTTCATTAAAAGCATTTATGAGAGGAGATAATTTTAGTGTTATGAAATATAAGGGGGATAAATAATCCTAAGTCTCAAATTGTGTTTAAAGTTCGTGAATCAATTACTTTTCTTTATTTTCTAGTGTTAATTTAATTTGAAAAATTATTTTCACCTGACTATGTATGACTCAACTTGATTGAATTTACTTAGTCTTTTATTTAATCATTATTTTTGAACAAATCCTCAAAAAAATAATACTTTATTTTTATTATATTACTTGCTATAACCCATACACTTGCAATGAGCAACATTTGTATTACTTTGGTCCATATTAGAATTTGAGAGTAATTCTCAAGTAATTGAGTCCTTGATCCCTCGTAACTAAATGCTTTGCCCCTTTCCTTTTGCGGAGAAATTGATATTAATGCATATTCCTTTTTTTTTTTTTTTTGACAAGGAGAAATGCATGTTCCTTCTCACGTGGAGATTGTGAATCATTGGATTCAAACTACCATATCCATGCACAGACCATTTATTGGTGTCCCTGTTGTGGGCTTTTGGTGTCCAATGGTCTCTTGAATGCAGACATACTTTACGAACATACACTTTAGGAACTATAGTAATGCACGTTGATTCAAGCTAAAAATTAACAACTACGTGAATTGTTTTTCTAAGCAAATAAAAATTAACAACGAATTTCTTTTGTTTGGAAACTAATTTCTACTCCTAGATTTTTGTTAAACTTATAAGTAAAAAATTAGACAAGGTTATCAGTTCTTGTTGGGCCAACGGCAAGATTACTACCTTCTATCCTATTTACAAATCATTTTCAATATGTTTTATCAGTATTAAGAAAAACTTTAAAATTCATTAACCTTGTCTTAAAATTTAATAAGTTATTAAGTTTAATCCTATTAAAAATACATATTTCAATAAAATATACTCTCTTTTTAATATTCAATGGATGAAAAAAGAGAAAATTTGTGATAAAAATTTAATGACTTAATTTATAAATAAAATAAAAAAATCTTTCTCTTTATATTATATAAATAGGATGAGAGGGAGTAGTTTAATAACAATAATTCAATAACAAAATAAAACAAACAATGAAACAAAGTAATATACTGCCTGATTGTATCCTACAGAATGCTAACCCAGTTTGAAAAAGTAAAACCCAAATACCAGAGAAAGACAGAGAAGGCTGTTTGGATCGTTCGCTGTCGCTTTTAATTGTGATCGTTAAAAATAGGAACCACAATCTGTAGGGCCCACTTTTCTTATGCTGAAAATGTAAAAATATAAATAAATTAATAATTAGTAATTCTTCCGTTGGAGTTTCATTCCTTAGAATCTGCTCCTTCCTCCTCCTTCCTTTCTCTTCGCCGGGCACGCCCGGTCTGCTCCTTCGGGTTTCTCTTCCGTTCATATTCCGGCGAGAGAAAGAGAGACGTAGATTTCCACATATTTTGATTTTTTATTCGAAGGTACTGGGAAATTTCCCTCCTCATTTCGGCCTCTTTCTGATGCATTTGTTTGTTGTCTTTGTAACTTTCTCTTGTAAGTGTACTTTCCGGATTTGTTTTTGGTTCTTTTGGTCATTATCATCATCTTTGGCTGTTTTCCATTTGTTCATTACTTTGGTAAATTGGCGGGAAGGCTCCCGTTTCTTTTACGCCTTACTATTATAGGAGAAGGTTCGTTTGCAGTTTCTGTTTCTGTTCATTTATGTTGAAATTGGCCGTTCATTGCACTGATAAATTAACGTATATATCTTTTATATTTTCAACGTTTTCTATACCATTTGTTCATTAAATTGATGAATTGGCGGGAAGCACCCTCTTGACCTTTTTCTTTTGTGGGATTGCAGGTTCTTGTCAGTTTCAGTTTTTAGTCAGTCTCATTCACAGGACTGTTTATTTATGTTGAAATTTGGCGTTCATTGCATTGATAACTTAACAGGAGATTTTTTTTTTTTTTGGGTTTTGTTTTCTGGGTTCTTTGCCACTTGTTCATTACGTTGGTAAACTGGCGGGAAATCTTGTTTTTGACCTTGTATTTCATGGGCTGGTGGATTCTTATTAGTTTCTATTTCAGGTCATCTTATTCATAGGATAGTTAATCTCTGTTGAAATTTGGCGTTCTTAATAGATCAACTTCTAAGGATTTTTTCCACTATTGGCTTTTTGTTTATTCACTGACAAATTAGTGGAAAGTCCTTGTCTTTCTCTGCTGGGTGGCAAGATTCTGTTTACAGTTTTTGGTTCAATAAGATTGTTATTTATTGATCCTATACTTGTTTCCAGAATTTGAAGTTACCATTTGGAGATACCTTTTTTTTGTTTTTGGGTGCACTTATGGACGTATGAGGATTCAAGGTTTCAAGTTAAATAAAATTCATTATTTGGTTCGCCTTCCAAATCTAATTTGATTTTTCATTTCCTTCAAGGTAAGTGACTACGACATGGGGAGGAAAGGGAATTGGTTTTCTTCAGTGAGGAAAGTTCTCAGTCCTCATTCCAAGAAAGATCAGGTTCCAAAAAATATATAATATATTAATATATGCTTTGGCAATAGAATAACATATCTTTTATATCACTGCTAGTGAAATCAGTTACCAGGTTCTGATTCAACTTCCCCCCCTTTCTCGGTGTTGAAAACAAAAGGACAAAAAGCAGAAGTCAAACGAAGTAGGTAATGACAAGCACAGTGACTTGGAAGCAGCTTTACCAAATGAGGGAGCACAATTTGCTGTTCTTCCTGCTCTTCGACCCATGGAAGATATTAAATCAGCTGAAGCAGAGAATGAGCAGAGCAAGTTTGCTTACTCTCTGGCTCTTGCAACTGCTGCTGCAGCAGAGGCTGCTGTTGCTGCAGCTCAGGCTGCAGCAGAGGTTGTTCGTCTTACTAGCATGTCCCGTTACCGTGGAAAGTCAAAGGAAGACATGGCAGCTATCAAAATTCAGACAGCATTTCGAGGATATTTGGTATGCACTTGTTATGCTGCATAAGTTTATGTTCTACCAGCAAAGATGTGCTTCTCTTGTCATTGTGTATATGTTGAACTCTGTTTGTAGATTTATCCCATGGATACCCCTTTTTAAAGGGCAAATTTATAGGATGATGAAAAAAGTTTTCTGTGACTTTTAATGTGCAGCATGCTGCATCAATGTTGGAAAGCTTTTTAAATTCCTGTATTAATTTTAATAAGTGTTTTGTTATTTATTCTTGCCAAATTAATTTTTATGGTTACCAACCAAATTTGGTTTATTAATTTAATAGGAACATGTACATGCTGTAAGCATTTCAAAAGGCATTCTTATGTGATAAAGTGAATTAATTAATGAATTGTAGCAATAGTGCAGTGGCTTTGAGTTATTGTACTTATAACAGCTCTTGTTTTGGGGCTTTCAGGCAAGAAGAGCATTGCGTGGCTTGAAAGGTTTGGTGAGGTTGAAGAGATTGGTACAAGGGAAATCTGTTAAACGACAAGCAGCTTCTACATTACGATGCATGCAGACCCTGACAAGATTGCAGTCTCAGGTTCATGAGAGGAGGGCTAGAATGTCAGAGGAGAACCAGGCTCTTCAGCGGCAGCTGCAGCAGAAACATGAAAAAGAACTTGAGAAGTTGCAAGCTGCTGTAAGCAGTCTCTGTTTATTTTTGTTTTTGAACTGCAGGTTCTGGTACAATGTATGCTATATGGTGGCATTTCATTGTGACATGCCTTTTATTATATGCTTCTGTTTCATTGCTTGTGAAAGATTTTGCATTTGAGCTCAGGATAATATTTACCTGGTTAATTTTGAACAAATGATTAAGTATTTCTTTTTCTCTTCCTACTTGGATTGTTTTAAATCATCTTCCATTTGAAAAGTCTTAAAAACGTGAAGGTACCTGAGTTTTTTTGACCGGCAAATAAAGGTCAAAGTTCTCAAATCCTGCTTGTGTGCTTTTATCTTTCAATGGTTTATTTGTTCATTGTATATGGTGCATATCCCTGACCTGGATTTCTGTTTGATTAGAATGCATAAAATTTTATCTTCACATGGAAGCATGGATTGACTGCTTTCATCTTGTTTGAATTAAAGGTGCAATTGGCCACAAAATAAATAAATAAAAATTGAAGTGGTGAAATAATTTTTCAGCAGATTGTTGAAGAATGGGATGATACAGCGCAATCAAAGGAGCAAATTGAAGCAAAACAGTCTAAAAGGCAAGAAGCTGCAGTTCGAAGAGAGAGAGCTCTGGCCTATGCATTTTCACATCAGGTACCCGGGTGTCCCCTTCTTTTGTTATTGCATTTGGGATCATAGCGAAACAGAGGAATTAACACACTGAATCAAACAAAATGTTTAGGTTTTGAAAATCTTCATCTATTTTGTTACAATTTTATAGTCATTACCCCCCATAATTTAATTGGGTTTCAGGAACAAAAATTCAAATGAGAGAATGGCATTTTCAGAATGATTATACAAATATGCAAATAAAGAAGTTCATATAAGTACTAGTACAGTACAGTTTCTATACAACTTATAATGATTTTCACTTGAAGTATTAATATTAATTTGCATCACTGTCTCATGAAATTACTAGTCAGGGCTGGCTTTTGCTTTGATGCTTTGTTAATATGCAGGAAATAGTCATTGGATTATAGAAACATACTAGTTTGTGTCAGGTCAAAGTGATATTTTTGCAATCGTGACCTGGATGATTTGATATTTTTATAGTGTTCATAATTTAACTAACTAAACACAAGCACTTGTACACGCATATCAAAGGCATTGCCATTGATTCTGTTTCTTAATTGGAAATCTCAAAACTTGTGGAATGCCTGAATGCACATTCATATGCTATTGGTTCATGCATGCATGCATGCATACATACATAAATATAAATATCTGTTTTGTTCATGCTGATATGTTCAAGGGTATTTCTAGGACCCTATTAACGATTTCAATCTAACCATTTTCTTAACAGCGAAAATGGAGGAACTCTTTGAAACCTGCAAATCCTACCACATTCATGGATCCAAACAATCCCCATTGGGGTTGGAGCTGGCTAGATCGATGGGTAGTGGCACAGCCTGCGGATGGCCGAAGCACTATGGATCACAGCGAGCGTGAATCTGCAAAAAGCATGGCGAGCCAACCCATGTCTGTTGGAGAAATTACTAAACTGTATGCTTCCCGCACTCATATACATCACGATAACAAGCCTGCTCCAGCTGGCCAAAAATCAAGCCGGCCTCCAAGTCACCGATCTTCTTCAACCCCACTTTCAAAGGCCCCATCTATCTTATCGACTTCTGGCAGAGTAAGGGCACCAAGCCCAAAGACAAGTTCTTGGGGCCGTCATGATGACTCAAGGAGCGCAATTAGTGCTCAGTCACAACGGTACCGTAGGCATACTATTTCGGGATCATCGTTCGGAGATGATGAGAGCTTTGCAAGCTCATCTGCCTTCTCAACTTGCACAGTTCCTACCAAGTCAGCTAAGGCCAAATCCAGAATTGAAAGCCCATCACTTGTTGCAGATAAAAAAGGGACACCAGAGAAAGGATCCAATGCAAAGAAGCGTCTATCCTTCTCGGGTTCCCTGGCAAGTTCGAGAAATCATTCAGGTCCTCTTAAGGTGGATCTTTTTGCTTCCAATAAGGATGCTGCTTCAGTCACTAAGACGAAAGTTGCCAATGGTGGCAGGTAGTGCTGGGAAGTGAGAAAGAATGCCTACTGGTACCTAACATGAGCTTGGTAGTATTGTGAATGAAGAAGATATAAAAGAAGATGGGATGGGATGTACAGGGCTTATAGTTGCTTGTGTGATGATGTTTTTGAAGGGCAAGGTAGGATAATAATGCATGATTGTTTTGATCATAAAGCTGTATTCATAATCACATACAACATCTTTATTTTCTTCTTTACCTCTTTGATTATGTCATGTAAACAGGATTGGATTGGGTTGATAATTATTTAATGATAGGTTCATTTTTTGTTCTAATTATTCTTGGCAGGATTATTGCGGAAGCATTTGTTCTTTCTATCAGTTTTATCTTGTTCTTGCTGGAAATCATTTTGATTTTATTTTCAACATGTTTCAATAATCCAAAAAACAAAATCTGTGTATTTCGTTTAGTACTTTACGTCCTTTTTTTTTAAATACAGATTTGACTTTAATGGCTTATATAAATATTTGATCAATTTTTGTATTTTTAATCTCATCAATAAATTTAAATACAGAAAAATCTTAATCTTATATCATTTATTAATATTTTTGATTTAGTATACTGAAGTTATTAATTAGTATTGGATAATTGTTAGCATAATTAATAATTATTGAGTTGATAACTATATAATAATAATTAATAACTGTTTAGCAGTAATGGACAATTTTAATAAATTTTAAAATTTTAAAATAATTTTATGATTTTGTAATGCCTTTTTGCGTTTAGATTTTATGTATTAAACCTGAAAGTAATTTTTCTCCGGATAAATGTTAGAAAAAAAAAAAGGAAAATATTATAAAATGCGCAAGAACGCCATTCAACAATCACGATGCTGCTGCTGCAATTGTTCGTTCGAATCTGTTAGAAGATTGTTGCCCAAAAAAAAAAAAAAGAATCTGTTAGAAGATCTGGATAAACTTAATAACTAGTCTCGGAGTCTCACACTTCGAAGTGTTAGAAGCATCCAGAAGAGCTGAATGCAATCCCATAGATTCTTCCCAACCCTTCAGGTTTCATAAAGATGGTGAGTTAATTATGGAGCTCTTCGCTTCCCCAGTTGTGCCAAATTTTCACTTTCTTTTGAAAATTGGACTTAATTTCTGTTACCTGCACTTAGTGGCGTCCAATTTTAAATTGTATGATTTTGTTGGGTTTCATTGAGCATCAAGTTGGAAGTTTTAATCAAAACATGAATTCAGAGCTTTGCCTATTTTAGCTGATGCTTATTCTGTTTCAATTGATTGCCCATGTGCAAATGGAATCCGTTATGGTGTTGTTTTACCCAAATTTGTCTTTGTAACTTTCGTCGAACGTTGGTTTACCCGAGCAAACTGACCCATGTATTGTGGAATCAATCCTTCTTTTCAGTACGGGTCGGAGTAGCTTCTAGCCAGTGCTATGATCTAATAATCTATTTTATGCACATTGAAATGAATGTATCGAAGTATCCTCAGTCTGTCAAACTTGGTTCTCTATAGATAGATCAAATCAATGAATCATAGAGGCAGAGAAAACGAGGGGGCCGCTCAAAGGTCAAGTGCTATTGCCCTTTTTTTGGGTTGAGGTACTTCTGCTTTTTTTTTTTTTTTGAATTTTTTTTAAATATCGATAAAGATAGCGATATTAGTGCTCGTGTGTGTGATTGTAGATCACGGATCTCTTTCTGTGATAGGGAATGTAATATTTATGCTTTATTTGAGGTGTGCTTCCGAACCCTTCACTCTAATTAGGTGTCGCTCTTTGTTAATGTTACTAAGTCTGATAAATTTGTTAGATTTTGCAGTGCAAAGCTAGCCATTGAGGTAGCTTCAAAAAGCACTGGTATTCAAAGCTCCAATTTATGGTAAGGATGTTGTTGATTGGATCACATTTTGGTGTTTGGGGCTAGCTGATTGTGGGGAATATCAATGGAAATAGAAGAATCAAATAATCTGATTATTGTAGCCAGGAGTTGCTGGACAATATTTTTTCCTGGCAAAATTTGAAAAATATTAAAAAAAAAAAAAGAACACGCAAATGATGGAATGCGAACAGGGTTGGCTATATATGCTAAGGCTAAGGTCTCTTCGGAGTTAGTCCCAATAGTCTAATGTGCTAGATTTTAAGAAATAGAAGGCAATGCTTTTGTTTTTCCCAGAAACAAAAGTGCACTGCTTTTTGGATAAACTTTCCCCTTTCCAATGCTAAGATAGAAAATAGTGTATTTCAACCTGGTAGGTGGAATAACTTATGTGATTTAAGTCCCAGGCAAAAACAACTGTACTGTCGTGGAACTTATACATAGAACATGCTAGTAAATTCCATTTGCAATAAACTATTTTGTAGTGAGTGCTGATATGCCGTATGATTTAGTTTTGTTACATTCATGTCATTTGCTAGTTTTATTTGATTTAGGCTTTGAATCATAAATCATATAACGTATCAAATCGCAAAATTCAATAACAGATAAAAAATAGTTTGAAATATGAAATATGAAATCCATATTCTTACAATACACATAATTGATGGATAAGCTTATTAGTCATATTTTTGCAAGTAATTAGTTCTTGAAATGATCCCATGTATATCCTTCTTTTGCTTTCTTTATAACAAGCATAAACATGTTTTGAACAACAGTAAAATATTGCCACACCTACTCAATTGTTTTCTCTTTTCTCACAATTCTAAATTATAGCATTGTGTTGGTTCTACCATATTGGCTCAAATAACGTGAACTCATAAGAGTCACAACCAATTCAGGAGGACTTTTCATTTAGGCCATTGAATCACAACATCTGCTTTGTGATTTGCGAGAAATCACAAGACTAGAATTATGAATTGTAATATTTTCATAACTATGCATGAGATTAATTTGGATGTCATATCACAAGCCTAACAAATATTTTTGGCTTCATGATTTAGCCAATGATATAGGACTGCTTCTGATTTAGCCAAATACATATCACTGCCTTTGTGATAAGTATGCATGAGATTAATTTGGGTGTCAAATCACATGCATAACAAATACTTTTTATTTCCCGTACAAGGGACTCTGAGATATCAAATATCAAATTCTGCCATGTCTGTTCTATATTTTGGTTCTAGCAAACATCAGAGCAGTTATAACGTTATGAATCATTTCAAAGCTGGGGAAGAAGGAAATGGTTCTTTTGTATTTAATGCTTTTGGCTGAAAAGCATTAAAGCTATACAGATGTAATTTTCTCATTTGGTTTGTCCAATTTCTTATTGAGTCAACAACATAAGCATTTGTTACAAGTTCTGAATGGAAGCTGTATTACTAAGCACCAGGTGGTTGTTTGTGCGTTCATAGTATATACTATTGTCACTTTACCCTCGTTGCCAGCATTTTTGTTGGGTATCAGTATTAGGGTACCTTAAGGTCTTTGGAATTAATGTGCGAAACTAAAAGAAACTACATGCAGTTATGGTATCAGCACCATCACCATTTGGAATCAATGTTTTAATTCTGTCAGCCAATGAACTGATTGCTCATATTTCACCAGCCTCAATCTAGAAAATAGAGGAGAATTTGATGTCAAGGGCTTGATGCTGACTGCTGCCGCTTTCCCCATTCATTATTTCCAAGGCCCTCATCCCTCCTTTATAAAAAAAAAAAAAAACGTATTTCCCTCTCAGTGGGACCTCTTTTGTTATTCAAACTCTTTGAGTACATAACAATTAACGGTGGCAAATCCATTCATGTAATCATGTCATGATGTGTAATCTGTCCTCTTAATAAGTTGAGTGATGGTGAGTTAATCAGCTGAACTGGTATTGGTAATCTAATGCAGTATTAAACAAACAACCAAGCAGTATTAATCTAATGCAGTATTAAAATTGCTTTCTTTAGTAGTTTACTTATCTGGTACCAAATGGCAATGTATATCAGGCTACACCATTTTTGGCTGGCCTTGCTGTGGCTGCTGCAGCTCTTGCTGGTAGGTATGGCATTCAAGCTTGGCAAGCTTTCAAGGCACGGCCCCCAAAACCCAGAATACGGAAGTTCTATGAAGGTGGTTTCCAGCCAACTATGACAAGAAGAGAAGCAGCTCTAATTTTGGGTATCAGGTGAACATGATATATGATTGTATAAGGCTGTTTTCATTTTTAACCACTGATTGCTTATGGCTGTCTAAGTTAAAAGTCAAAAGTCGTTCCAATGTGATTCCTTCTATTCAATTGGAAGAATAAATTCAATGATCAATGTCATTGATAATGAGTGAAAGATGAATATTTAAGTACGTCTGGTCTGGACCATATTGATAAACTCAAACTGTTTCAAGTTTCACTGCATTATGCGTGCGTGTAGAGTGCTGTTTCAAAATATTTGTCTTGTGTTGTTACAACGTATAATGAACTGATAATGTTATGAAGTTTATGTGGCATCTTGGATTAGAGAGAACTTGTGTTTTCTATTCACAAATGCAGGCCGTATATGTACAGATTACAAATATTATTTTACAGGGAATAAAATCAAATAAAAAATAAAATATTAACTCCCATGATCCCATCTAATCATATCCCTATATTTAAGGAATAAATCTCTCCAATAAAAATGCATTAAATATTAATTTGACTATTCTTACACTCCCCTTCAAGTTGAATCATATATGCTAACCATGTCCAACTTGTTCAAACAACTTTTGAAAGCGGGTTTATGTAACCCCTTAGTCAACATATCTGCTGCTTGAAGATTTGTTGGTAGGAAGGTTAGGCATATGATCTTCCACCTTCTTTTTGATGATGTGTTTGTCTATTTTCACATGCTTAGACCTCTCATGTTGGATGGGATTCAAGGCCATGCTGATGGTGGCCTTATTATCACAATACAGTTTTAGTGGTAGATCGAGTCAGACATGGATTTCTTCTAGTACCCTCTTCAACCATAGCTCTTTCGTTTTGCCTTAAGCAAGTGCCCTTAGCTCAGGTTCAACACTACTTTTGGAAACAACTCTTTGCTTTTGACTCTTCCACGTAACAAGATTTTCCTATATGAATGAGTAATAGCTAGAAGTCCATTTTTTGTCCTGGTAATGTCCGCCCCAATCTGCATCCATGTATACTTCTATAGTTCTTTGTTCATGCTTTTGGACAACAAAACAAACCCCTTCCATAGGTAGCCTTTAGGTACCTTAGGATCTTGTATGCCTCTTCCATGTGTTTTTCCTTTGGTTTGCACATATGCTAACTAGCTACACTCATAGTAAACGCTATGCCAAGTCTTGTGTGTGAAAGCTAGATATTTCCCAGCAAGTCTCTGATATCTCTCTTTATCAGCTAGTTTCTCTTTTTCCTTACCCTCCTCTTCCTCAGAATTGCCCTCTTCTTTCTTGGATTTTTGCTTCTTCTTTAGAACAATAAGGGCTTCAACAGGTTTACACCCCAACATACCTGCCTCTTTTAAGAGAGATCAAGTACATATTTTTTTTGGGATACATAAATACTCTTCTCTAGGACAACCTCTCTCCATCTTGTTGTTTTAAGGGCCTCATATATGTTATTAGGAATACTAACATCATCTACATTAGCAATAAATGCTCGGTAACTAGGAGACAAAGTTTCATACAACAAGTACTTCTGAATGGGATGTTGTGTACAAGATTGAGGTTTCTTCCTAAGGGCAATTGGCAATTCCAAATCATCTTTTGAGATCTTCCCTATATCAAGGTTTTCATTAATACTCTCACCTTCCTCTCTTAGACTTTCTTCTACAGAATCTTCCACCAGTTCTAATTCTAATACTGCCTCCCATATGAGGGGTTTTACACCCTATTTCATCTTTAGTGTGTAAACTTTGATCTCTTTACCTTTAGTACTTTCATCCTTGTCTCCCCTTGAACCTGCATTTTCTTTTGCTTCTGGCATAAAAGGTACAGGTACAGACACGGGCTCAAGGGAAGTATCAAGAGAAGTAGGGTAGTTAAGAGAGTTAATTGGAGAATACTCATGGTTAAGGGTTGATTAAAATCCACTCCAATACTCACCTTGAATTGAAGGAGATGGGTAAAAGGACTCGTGTTCAAAAAAGGTGACATCATGACTAACAAAGAGATGCTTAGAAGATGGATCAAGCACTTATAACCTTTCTAGGCTGAAGAGTGACCTAGGAACACATACTTGACAGCTTGAGGCTCAAGTTTTTAAGATGAATGGAGACGAACAAAGGCAGAGCACCCAAGAATTTTCAAAGGAAGACTTGTTTCAAGATGAGTGAGAGAATGTGTTTGATGAAAGCACTCAAGTCGAGTAGAATAGGACAATATTTTATTGGGCATGTGATTAATGAGGTAAGTGGTAGTGAGACTGGCATCTCCCTATAAATATTTAGGCACGTTTGTGGTAAATAGAAGAGTACAAGCAACTTCAAATAAATGTCTATTCTTTCGCTTAGCCACCCTATTTTGTCGAGGGCTGTTATCATAAGAGGTTTATGAACTATTCCCCTAGACTTAAGGAAGTCACTAAATGATTTGTTAACATATTCAACCCCATTATCAATTTAGAGGATTTTGATGGATGTGTGAAATTGATTCAGCATCATGGTGTGGAATTCGATGAGACTAGATGTCACATTAGATTTATCTTTCATTAGATACACTTAGCACTCACGAGTATGGTCATCATTAAAAGTGACAAACCACTTAGCATGAGTTCAATTAGGGACACAAGAAGGACCCCACACATCACTATGAACGATAGAAAAAGGTTGAGAGGGCTTGTATTTAGAGTGCGAAAAGGAAGAGCGATGATGTTTGGCCAATTCATAAATATCACAATGAAAACTAGAAATTGTATTAGATAAAAATTGAGGAAGCAAATGACTTAAGTAGTGGATATTGAGATGACCCATTCTTTTATGCCATAACAAAAAATCAACATTTTCAGAAGTAGGTGCAAGGTTGTAGCAGATACGAGACTAGAGATTACTCACGATTTATTCATCCAAGTAGTAGAGCCCGTCACACTCCTCAATAATGTCAATCATCTTCCCCAATGAGAGATCTTGGAAAATAAAATGAGTGAAAAAGAAGTGAGTACTATAATGAGCTTGTTTAGTCAACTTGCTTATAGACAACAAATTACAAGCTAGATAAGGGACATGAAGAACTGAATCCAAGTGAAAAAAATTCAGAAATAGTAATATTGCCCTTTCTAGATATAGAAGAAGTGCTATTAGTTGTGTCAATTGTTTTACGTCCACTACATGGGACGTATGATGTAAATAACATGGAATCCATAGTCATGTGGTTAGAGGCCCTAAAGTCAACAATCCCTCTAGACTTAGTGGAGCAAACATTGAATGGATGATGAGAATTACTTTTCTTAGTCGCTGAAGCATTAGGAGACGAGGAATATGACTGGTTGGATTGTAAGGATTGAAGCATTTCCATAAGCTTATTTAACTGGTCTTTATCAACAGCCACTAAAGAACTAGGTTTGCTTAATGCAAACTCAGATGTAACTTGGTAACCAGGAGACCTACCTTTACAAGGTTTCTAGTCAGGGGGCTTCCCATGAAGATCCTAACATTTATCTTTTGAGTGGCTTGTCTTCTTACAATGGTCACACAGAATTTTGCCTATTGCATCCTTTTGTCCTTGATCAGAGTGCCTGCTCAGTAAAGCAGAAGATTCATATCGAGAAGGAACAGAAGAAGGAGCAAGTAACATCATCTTGCGACAAGAAGCCTCTCAGGGACCCTCGGCAAAAGCATCACAAGTCAATGGCATCAGGGAGCAAGCCAATATGCCGCTATGAATATCATCTAGTGAAATATGAATGCTACCCAAGAATTGAAAGACCTCACTTGTCTTCAATACGACGCTTGTATCTTACTACATTGTTGGAACAACACCGTTCCTCTTTTGTGTTGAGATTAATTTCTTACCATATATCAACTAGCTCCAACCAAAATTCCATTACCTCTCGTTCATCTTGTTTCATCTGCCAACTTTATGTCTTCAAATCATAAAGTCGGGCACCATTTTCACCATCCTAATACAACTCCTTAATTGCTTCCAAAAAAACTCATGCTGTTAGAGGAAACATGAAGGAGTGCCAAATTTGTGGTGTCATGGTGTTGATCAGCCATTAAGCTATTGTAGAGTTTTGGTTTCCTACTTCATCATGGTCTTTGAGTTTGATGCATTTGAAGCCTTAGAGTGGGCAATGATTAAACCCAACTTGCCTTGTCACCTGATAGCAAGTATGATTGCTTGGGCCCATTCACTATAGTTGCAGTCATTGAATTTTTTTGAGATGAGGAGAGTAAAAGTCCCTCTAGTAGAACTCAATCCTTGGGGAGTTCTGCCATGTGGGTTGACATTTGAGTCAGTCTCTATGCTAGGACCAGTACCCATGGTTGGAAGGAATGGAAGGCACGAGTCTAACTTTGGGTGTGGTGCGATCTCATTGATGGGAGATGAAGAGAGAGAATTGCACAATGCAAGCGCTGAACTAGATGAGATCACTCCAGAAGAAAACATTGAAGAATCACCGTTCTCATGCGACTCATGACTAAGGGGAGTCATGCTAGAAGAGAATGCTAAAGTGGAGTCGTGCTCGTGGGATTCGTGACTGGAGGTCTTGACTAATTGTTCTAGGTCAGATGCAACCGATTTTGATACCATGTGGCATCTTGGATCAGAGAGACCTTATGTTTTCAATTCACAAATGCAGGCCGCATACAGATTACAAATATTATCTATAGAGGGATTAAAATCAAATAAAAAATAAAATATTAACTCCCACGATCCCATCTAATAAGTATATTAAGGAATAAATTTGTCTAATAAAAATACATTAAATATTAATTTGACTATTCTCATAGTTGATAGTGCACAGAAACATTTTTCATCGTGTTTTATTGTTTCAAAATAATGATGGGGGAAAATATCAAGGTGTATTTAGTGACCATTGGTGTTGAAAGTTATTGTTGTGACATCTTTTTTTTTTTAATATATATAAATATATACACAGATATACGCATGCATGCATATATATGCACCATGTTGCTCGTGGGGAATATTTGTCTTTTGTTGTCACAATCTGTGTGAATAAGATGATGATGTTCTAGAACATGCAATGATGTTATCCACTGCATCTTACTGGTTTTAACTTTCAAAGTGACGATGGTGGGGAAGAAGTCTAAAGGTGAACTATTTGTAACCATGACCTTCTTGTTGTGTAACATCTTTTTTTGGGACAAAAATGTGGTGACATCTAGTGATACAATGGACAGCTATTTAAAGTTCAACCCCTCTATGAGAGCATTGGTTGAAACCATATTGTAAAGTCTGAGTTGTCATTGTAATTGATTACCCTATGACTACTTATGAAATATGCAACATCCAATTCACTCTCTCTGTTTTTGTCACGAAGTTATCTCAAGTTAAGATGTTCTGTGGATGAATAGGGAAAATGCTACTCCAGACAAGGTGAAGGAAGCACATAGAAAGGTAATGGTGGCAAACCATCCTGATGCAGGTGGCAGTCATTATCTCGCTTCCAAAATAAATGAAGCCAAGGACGTGATGCTCGGCAAGACAAAGGGCAGTGGATCTGCATTTTAACACGGCTTCCAACCGTCGTGTTCTCGAACACGTCATTACTAAGGTACATAGTCAGTCTTGTTATTTTCAACATTGCACATTGTAAACTTCCGCCTGTAGTTTGACGGATTGAACTATGCATAGTAATGGTCGCCAATTTTTCAGGTCACCAGAAGATGTCCAGTGTAAGTTAATATGAATACATATCAATGTCATTATTTATAAGTATGAAATCCTATACAGCACACTCGGTATTGCAATCTTTTTCTGACCATAAATAACCTGCAGGCCAGAGAAAGGCTGAATTTACGCTGCACATCAAGGAGAATGGTTCCAAGTGTTAATGCTCTTGTCAAAAATTAAAGAGTTGGAAAAAATAAAAAAAGAAATAATGCATATCCCTTGACGAATATATCTGTTAGTAACTCTGAAATTCAGAAATTGTTTCTTCAGACTCACGCCCTCATCAGTTTCCATTTCAAGCATTCTAACCATTTTTCCTTAATTGAGATGCTCATTTATACATGCCTCTATTGGTTTGAGCAAGATTTTTGGTAGGGCATTGTGCGATTAGTGTAGAGAAGTTCAAGAAGTTAAGCCTAGTTAGAGAGTTGGCAGATGGCTTACGGCTGGAGCTCTATCCAAGAATTTTCTTATGATTTGTTTTCATATTTTAATTGGAGTTTTCATCATTACGCTTACACAAAGTAAACAAGTGCGCAACTCCAATATCAAAAGTTGTCATCAATTGGCATTTCCTACTTGAGAAAAAAGTTGTTATTAATTGTTTGTTTTTCTAATACTTTTTCTCGCCTAAAAGTCAACGATTGGCATGCTGTAGATTATCAAAAGAGTAAGTGGGTTTATATTTTTTGTTGGGTAATAATCGATATTTACAATTTATTATATTTACTATATGTCTATATGTAATATAAAATCTCCACAAAGATGTCTTATTAACTTATACTCCCTCCATCTTTATTTATAAGGTGTTTTTAATTGAATTCATCATACCAAAAAAAAAGTTTGTTACTTAATTAAAATCATATAAAATCACAATGATTTTTTAATTTTGTTTTTAATAATATCACAATTAATATTGGTGGTGGGTAATTATATTAATTGTGATCTACAATTTTAAAATTAAATTAAATAATTACATGCCATGTTCAATGAAATTTATTTATTATCTAGGCCCACATTATTTGCTTTGATTGACTTTTAGTCTCTTAATGATGCTATGAGATGAACATTTTTGTTGTCACACTCATTTTATTGATTGTCTACACTAATTTATTCATGCAATTTCTTTTTTTTAAAAAAGGCATGTAGCAAAAAAAAAAACTGAAGAGAAAATATTTAATTTTTCTCTATACCAGTTTTGTTTCTTCTTTGTTCAATATCCTAATACAACTTAAATTATTGATTAATGACTTTTTTATTCACAATAATTATTTATTTATTTAATATCAAAGTTGTAAAATCAATTCCAGTAGCCATGTCAATTTTCTCAAAAAAAAAACTAATTCTAGACCAAACTTTAAGTATTTATAAGGAAAAATGGGTAGAAATACTTATAAAGTCATCAGTCAAAAGCATTCAATAACTCTAAAGTGATAAAAATAATAAAAATACTTATAATGTTATTTAATTAGTGTAAAAGTAATGAATTCATTAAATTTTTCAAACATTAATCATTTAGCTAAAATTTAAACAAATGTTGACTCTTTTTGGCTAACATGAATTAAAAAAGGAACAAAAATACCCTGAAGTTGTCGACGAGAGACATTAAATAGTTTAAAGTAAGAAAAAATAAAAATACTCATAACGTTATTTTAGTAGGTGTAATAGTAATTAATTCATTAAATCCCTCAAACATTAATCGTTTATCTAATATTTAAATAGAAATTGATCATTTTTTTGCTGGCGTGGACTAAAAAATATTTTTAGGTAGAATTATATGAAGGTTGATCGATTATCATATGATGATGAGTCTCCATCTAAGGCTTTGGTTTTGATAATAAGAAAATGTTATTTTGACCTAATAACATATTAAATTGCTTACTCCTTTAAAAATATTGTACCATTGAAGTTTCTTTTTGATGATCCGAATCAATAAAAGAAGTTCCTTGCAGCTTAATTTCCTTTCCAATTTCATACGCAACATAACATCTCTTTCGGGCTAGCTTAACACGTTAGGTTCAATGCCTTGTTGAGAGAATTTTAGAAAATTGTGCTTAATCATTAAAAATTTCTTTGAGAAGTCTTTGCTTGGAAATGTTTGAAATCTCTATTATGAGCATTGTCGGATGGAAAAAAACCATATAGCATGAATTTTGATGAATTAGACACCATTACACCTACTAAAGTAACGTTATGGGCATTTCTACCTTTTCTTTTCTTACTTTAGGTTACTAGATGCCTCTAATTGATAACTTTGTGAGTATTTTTTTTTCTTTTTAATTCACATTAATGAAAAAAATTATCAACATCTATTTAGGTGTTAGCTAAACAATCAACATTTGAAAGATTTGATAGATTGAATACTATTGCACCTATTAAAATAATATTATAGGTATTTTTATCTTTTTTTTTTTACTTTAGACTACTAAATGTCTTTGGTTGACAATTTCATGAATATTTTTTTCCTTTTCTAATCCACGTGAGTGAAAAAATGATCAACGTTTATTTAATGTCAATTAAACTATTAATATTTAAAAGATTTAACGAATTGATTGTTTTTGTACTAATTTAAGTAATATTTGTGAATATTTTATTATTTTTTTATTTTAAACTACTAAATGTTACTGAACAAATTTGTGAGTATTTTTTATCCCTTCACTCTTTTGTTCCTTCATTGCAGAATCATAAATGGATAAGCATATAGGACTTATGTCTAGGTTTTATTTAAGAAATGAGGAGACTAATTAATAATTGCATCTACCCTTACAATAAGGCCAGTGGCCGTAAAACACACATGGCCCTTACGTCAGCTACTTTCCATTCGGCAACCATGGCGTTATCCGTATAAATAACCTTTTTTATTTTAAAAAAATAAACGACCTCTTTTTTTTTTTTTTTTGGCTGGCGAGATAACCATTGTTTTATAATTTATTGTTTCTGTTTTGGAATGCCCTTTTTTTTATTTTTTTCCCTTTTCTTGTCTTAAAAATATTTGGAAGATTTTTTAGAGAAATAAATGATAGGCTTCTCTTCTGTGCTTTCTCGTATTCTTCTTCTTCCTCCTCTGCCACCCATATCGGTCTCAACACTAACTCTGCCCGAAGTCACCGCTTAACACACCTTATCAAAGGGGAATCTTATCCATTTACTTTCTTTGTATTCGTTTCACTCTCTCTCTCTCTGTCTCCCTGTCATTCAACTTTTGTATTGTTCACTTCATCGTAGGTACCCGTTATTTCTAAACGGAAATGGGATTAATCTTGAGTGCTTCAATTCTGCAATTTTCATCGGTTCCCTGTTCTGATGACTAGCATATCTCTTGTTTTGTTATTGATAGGTTTCTAGTTTTTTTTTTCCGCCGGATCTTTTTTTTTTTTTTTTTGCAATCTCGTACCTCCGACTGGGCGTTCGTCGATTTGAAATTTGTTCTTTTTTAGAACGCAGTGGAGATAGAATTGCGTAGAACGCTTTGAATATCGAAGTTTTAGTCAGTAATGGTGTCCGAGACCGAGAACAATCCAGTTGAATCTTTCTTCAATTCGATTCAAGTTGTTAAAGAAGCGCTGTCACCACTCGAAATAGGTATTCGGAAGGCGGCCAAAGATCTTGAGCATTGCTGGATAGCCTGGCCGGGGCCTAAGAATAATGGAAATGGTGTTCAGTCGATTGCCGAAGTGAGTGAAGCAGGCATGTTTCCGATCTGCAGTATGAAGAAGAAGAAGAATGGTCAGTGCGTGTTTATTGATGAGAGAAAGAAAGGGTTATCAATAAAGATTCCTTTTAAGGCTTTCTTCGGTATGTTTTCTCAGAATTCAGGAAGTGGGAGTAAAGCTGGGGTGTTGGGTAGAGGTTCAAAGGAGGAGGAGTTTGCCAAGGAAGATGGCCCTTGCACAAATTGCTTCCGGTTTGCAGTTACTTGGTCTGTGCTGTTTAATGGCTTTTTGCAGGCATTGCCAATTCCTTTTAAATCAAGCAAGAAGCGGATCCAGAAAACGGGTGGTGAAGATAAACTGTGCTCGTGCATGAAGCCTAGTGTTTCATGTGAATTGAAGCAAACTGAATCTAAGGGCCACTTCGTTAGAAAATTCAGGGAAAAGGGTAGGAAAAAGAAGGAGGAAATTCATGTTTCACTTGAATGCCTCGTAGGTTTTATCTTTGATCAATTATCTCAGAGTACTCTTCAGAATCATGATGAGGGAGCGCTAGAAAATGATCTGGACTGTGATAAACCTTCTCTTCCCCCACCTATTCCTTCTTATTCTAATCATTTGAAAGCACTCACTAATATTTTGGAAGGGCAAAAAATAAATGTAAATGGTTTCTTGGGAAATTTAAGATTTGCAAAAGTGGGTTTGCCATCAAGTGTTATAGTAAGCCCTTCAGATAAAGAGGGTGATGGTAGTGCTACTGTTGAAAACAGGGAAGAGACTGGTGGAATTTCTGCGCATAAGGTCGCCACGAACTTATTCAGCATTCCTCTATCAAATGTCGAACGTTTAAAGTCCAGCATTTCCACTATTTCTTTGTCGGAATTGATCGAGCTTCTACCGCAGCTTGGACGTACAGCTAAAGATCATCCAGATAAGAAGAAACTATTCTCTGTCCAGGATTTCTTTAGATACACGGAGGCTGAAGGTACGGTTTTTTTTATTTTTCATGATAGAGTCGAAGATTTTGCGTGTTGCTTGCATTGCATGCATCGCAAATAAACTCTTTTTAACAACTTAAAAAGCTGTTATAACAAAATTTAGAACCTATTTGGTTATGTAAATATTTGATATTCTGAATGCCTGCGCGGGCAGTGTATGTTTATGTTTTGTTGACGATGGCAATGGAAAGGAACAAAACTATATAAAAGGTCAATACTTGAATGTTATTTTCTATTATGGTCAGTATCAGTAATGAGGACAGTATGGTTTCTCAGCGGAATTTCTGCTTCTCCTAGATCATGCAAATGCATTTATGCAAGCTACGAACCTGACAACTGATCTGGATTTAGATTTTAAATTTATTATGTTACTACTCAAGTCCAACTTTTGCATGTTCATTCTGTCTGTAATGGTTTGATCTGTATTTCCTAAATTAATGTACAGCTGATGTATGAAGTGATAAAGGAGCTTACAAGTTATGCGATCCACGAAAGGATCAAGATATGACATCTAACTTATAATTTGTGTTCCGAGAGGTATGGTTGGGCTGCACTATAACTGAAGGATGCCATAATTGGAAGGAGTGATAATGTAGGTTAGTTTGGGAACCTGACGATGGCTATTGCATGCAGGACTTGAATTCCTAGAAAGCAATATTTTGTTTTTTAAGATTTGGGTTTGTTAAGGTTTAGGGAATAACAAAAGGTAATTGGTTTCAGTAAACTTGTTGTTGGAACTTTTCTGGCTTGTTGAAAGATCTGGATCTGCTTCTACTGATTAAATTAGGCCATTTGAGGTGTGAGAGGTTAGAGGAGTGTAAAATACGAACTCTATCAACCTCTGTTTGGATTTTGATGTTGACTTATATGTTGTATAAGAAGCGACAGGAAATAGAAGATTGCTTGAGTTGATGGAAGTAATTATTGGAAGGGCAGTGAGTTGGCTGTGCAGGATGCTTTAATTGGAGAAAGATGATCATCCTTAAGACAGTATATTATCATCCTGAATTGTCTTAGTTGTAATCATAGCACACTTCGTCTGATTCTATGGTTGCACACAGTATATTATCATCAGGCATGACACCTATGTGGCATTTCATATAATATCATCTTTGAGTTTATGATTGACTCATCAGAGTTCTGGATTGAAGTCTCAATTTAAGATTTCGTTAAAAATATGTAAAGAAGAATGTTGGACTGGTATTTCCAAATTTATCTAGAGACAAATACCTATGAGAACTAGTAATGTATGGAAGTGTTCTAGAATTTCAAGTATACATGCATCTCTTTTCTTGGGTCCTTTTGGGATTTCTAGTGTATGTGTTTCTCTTGCTGCATCAATTCACATGCTTTGTCTCCTTGTCCATGCTTCAGAGACTAAATATTAATATTTTAGTGCATAAACAGATAAATGTATATACACTGGTCATGTTTGAATGTTAATTTTCTCCAGCATAGTTAGTTTGGTGCCTAGAAGTGATTTTGCTTATGAAGGTTACTTTTCAAACATGCTGATTTCATAAAAATCTATTTCTTACAGGGAGAAGGTTCTTTGAGGAGCTGGATACTGATGGTGATGGCCGAGTGACTTTGGAAGATCTAGAAATTGCAATGAGAAAACGGAAATTACCGCGGAGATATGCTCATGAATTTATGCGCCGTACTAGAAGTCACATATTTTCTAAGTCTCTTGGGTGGAAACAGTTTTTATCTTTGATGGAACAGAAAGAGCCAACAATTCTTCGTGCATATACTTCTCTGTGTCTAAGCAAGTCTGGGACACTGAAGAAGAGTGAAATCTTGGAGTCACTGAGGAGTGCAGGACTTCCTGCTAATGAAGACAATGCAGTTGCTATGATGCGATTTCTTAATGCTGACACTGAAGGATCTATTTCTTATGGACATTTTCGCAATTTTATGCTTTTGCTTCCCTCTGATCGTCTTCAGGAGGATCCTAGGTAAAGTAAGCTTTGATAATTTGAAATATTGTCAATGTTGGATGCATCTTACATTGTTATACATATTTTGAAAAGCATCTAAATTATTATTTAATTATATTTTTGTTGTCCTGTTTGAATGATTACTTTTAGGGGATTAACAAAGTTGAAATGCACTCAGTTCTAGTGGCAGTTAAATAGTCAAACATGTGATTAGGCCATAGGGATAGTACACAAGTTTCCATTTTGGGTGTACCAGTAATTGCCATCAATGTTGTGCCAAAAACGTGTCTGGTAATAGTTTTAGATATTTCATTTCCTTTTGTGAAGTAGTTATTTGATAGAGTACAGATTAATGTAGGATAATGGGTGATTTGGGAAGTAAGAGAAATATTAAGAATAAATATTATTTTTAATTTATTTTAGAATATTATTTAGATTTTATTCAAATATTTAGTTATTTAGATTTTATTTAGATATTTGGATATCTAAATATTTATCAAAATATCTAGATATTTATCTAGGTGTCTGATTATTTAGATTTTTTTTTTCAGATATTCAATTATTTTAGATTGTATTTAGCATTATAAATATGCTTAATAATTTAGAAGCAGGCATATCATGAATAAAATAGATTCTTGAGAGTTTTTAATCCTTTGGAGATAATCCTAAGTATGGCCATTGAGAGAAGTATAGAGCGAGATTCTTGTTCTATATTATCTTAAAGAGAATTACTCTTCCTATTTTCTTCTAATAGTTCTATGTTCTCTTATTCTATATTATCTTAAAGAGAATAACTCTTCCTATTTTCTTCTAGTAGATCTATGTTCTCTTATTAACATATGAAATTAAATTTTGATTTCATATTTTTATAAAGATTTATCTTCCTTATTTCTTTCTATCAATTTTGGGCTCCCATCATTATTCAACCAGGCATTTGGCACATTTTCTCTTGTCCACTGTTTTAGCATGAAGTTTTTTGTTTTTCCTGCCCTCTCTGATTCATCTAGAATATAAGTGTTTGGTGGTGGTTGTCGGATGATGTAGTTAATGCTATTCTCTATCTATAGTATATAAATAAACTAAAAGTTCTGGACAGATCCTCGGGAAGATTAGAGAATATTTGAATATCCAACCCTGTTGCAGTTAGTGCTCTAATTTGCTTATTTCAACCAACTATTAATATTTATCCACTATGATCAGGAGCATTTGGTTTGAAGCTGCAACATTAGTTGCTGTTCCACCACCTGTTGAAATTCCTGCTGGAAGTGTTCTAAGGTCTGCATTGGCAGGGGGCCTTTCATGTGCTCTGTCTTGTGCATTATTGCATCCAGTTGATTCAATCAAGGTAAATTCTTCTAACTTAATAATTTCTTTTAGGTACAGCAGGTAATTCCATGTTCCTCTTGTGATGTCTGACGTTTTTGGGACCTCCCTGTAACTAAGGCCTATCATTGTCTTGTTTCATATGATAGACCCGAGTACAAGCATCAACCCTGTCCTTCCCTGAAATCATTTCCAAGCTTCCGCAGATTGGAGCACGTGGTTTATACAGGGGATCAATCCCCGCAATTCTTGGACAGTTTTCAAGGTTATGATTGTTTCTCCTCCCTCCCTCCATCCCTTTTTTCTTCCTTTCTCTTGAAAAATAGGGAAAAAGATGAGGAAATTGCATGTGCTTTCACTAAAAGATGCTACCGTTATTTTCCTACTAAGCTCATGCTAACTTTCGGTCATGCAGCCATGGCTTGCGAACTGGGATATTTGAAGCAAGCAAACTGGTGCTGATAAATGTTGCTCCAACACTGCCAGACATCCAGGTAAATCTCTGAGCTTGCTGTGACTTTAGATCCGGTCAACTTGTGATTTTGTTTTTCTTTATTTTATCTTCCTTCCATTTTGTTGGGGATTCAAGAGAGCTTCCAGATGAATTGCCTTGATGTTTCAGCTTTTAGATTACTATCGTGGCCTTGTTCCATGAATCTTTCTTTTATGGATTGGAATTCACTTGCCGCTGAAGAATTGGTTGGGGCTTTTGATTATACTTAATGTTGAGTATAATGGGTGAGAATGTAGCAAAATACTGCTATGAATTTCTATGCATACTTAAGTTTGCATGCTGATTTCAAGCTCTTTCACCATAAACAAGAAATTCTTAACCTATACTTACCTAGTAATGTTTCCAGCGTCCAGTATGAGTGCGCATGTGTATATATTAATGTATATGTGACTGAAAGCTCTGTGCACTCTATTGACCTCTGGAAGAGCAATTCTTTACCTTATGTGGTGGACAAGAGGTCCTCTATGTTAATTGGATCTTATATGCTGGTACTATTTTCAAGATTCATGTAGCTAATTGCAGTAGCATATTGTATAGGTACAATCTATATCATCATTCTGTAGCACATTTTTGGGAACAGCAGTGCGCATCCCTTGTGAGGTGTTGAAGCAGCGGCTGCAGGCTGGGCTTTTTGACAATGTGGGGGAAGCTATAGTTGGGACTTGGCACCAGGATGGTCTTAGGGGTTTCTTTCGTGGGACTGGAGCTACCCTTTGTCGTGAAGTTCCTTTTTATGTGGCTGGCATGGCTCTTTATGCTGAGTCTAAAAAGGTATGATTTTTACAGTTTATAACAAGTTGACTGTTATAATATCTCGACAAGTGCATTCTACATTGCAGCATGCATTCACATGCATAAACGTGGTAACTTTAATAGTGAATAGTGAATGGTGTCTACTATATAGCTTAGGTTATTTTTTTCAAGATAAAATATTCATTCTCTAAAAAATTGTCCCTTTTGGCGTTGGTAGGCAGAGTAAAAAAATTTCTTATCCTCTTTGCACTCTGTGATATGCTTGGTTTTGAGTGTGCCCCTCCTTTATGCCCACAATGACATAAATGCCTCAGAAGATGCTGTTAACATTGGTATGTTTGCCTATGCTTGTTCTTTTTTGTTTTCTGATTGGATTTCCAGTGCTAAAATATACTAAACAACACAGCAGTGCACAATAATACTTGTATTGATGCTTAAGATGCTACAGAAAAAAGGGTACAACGCTCCAAACTCACTAGAGACAGCACAACTCAAAAAACTTCTGTTATGGATTATGGACATATATACTTCACAAGACAAAAGAAAGAGCACTCAAACCCCCCACAACAATTGGTTAACATGCACAATGACACTAACCACCAAAATAGATGCACAGAAGCAGAAACAAGTATATGTAGATGCTCAAGATAAAAGCTAGCATTCAAGAGGCTAGCCTTCTCCCAACTTCCTTTCTCGAAATTCCCTGATCTCCTTTCACTCCCTTTTGTTTCCTACTATGTGTTGGGCTACCTCAGCTGAGTCCATCATTAATGATAGGATCCAAGGAGGGGTGAGCATCCCGTCTTGAAAAGCACATTGCCAAGGCGAAAGAACCACTCTTATCACACCCAGCAGTTCATTCAGTTTGCCACGAGGCTTAGGCATCTCACGTCATTCAGCTCCTACCGTAGCATCAACCTTGACAAGCTGACTCCTTAAGGGTTGCACTCTATGGCATTTCCTTCGTCTTTCTCCTTGGTTAGAACCTTTTAGAGGTGGTTCTTTCTTTGACATCTGCCAACTAACTTTGCTTTTGATACCAAATAACAAGACCAAGGAGGTGTGCAGAATCAATACTCAAAAGTGTGCTCTCAGCAGGGAAGAACCAGTCCCGCTAAAAATGATACCAAACATCTCACATTACTTGATTTAAGACTTGGAAATCCTATAATACCCAATTCCTGTCAATTACACTTCTGAATTTTATAAAATACATTTGCTCAGAGTTCTGAATGGCTAGATGTATGCTATATCTGTTGACAAGGGTTGCCTTAATTGTTAGAATTAAAGTGTCATGTCAACTAAAGGGTCTTTGTATTGATCCCTAAGAGTAATCTTTGTTAGTAACCATTCACCAGTTGCTATGCCCCTGCTTTTGAGCTGGAATAACTCATCTGTCTACGATTTTTTTTTTTTAATTCCAAAAAGAAAGTATGTCACGTGTTGGATAATAATAAGGGCCGTTGTGTTGGAATTGTGATCTCAGGCTGTCCAGCAAGTGCTGAGACGGGAGCTGGAACCGTGGGAGACGATTGCTGTGGGGGCTTTATCTGGGGGCTTGGCTGCTGTTGTCACAACTCCCTTTGATGTTATGAAAACAAGAATGATGACTGCACAGGGACGGTCTGTGTCGATGACCTTAGTAGCCTTCTCGATACTACGCCACGAGGGCCCCCTAGGCTTATTTAAAGGAGCAGTGCCCAGGTTCTTTTGGATTGCTCCTTTGGGTGCCATGAACTTTGCAGGCTACGAACTGGCAAGGAAGGCCATGAATAAAAATGAGGAGCTAGCAGGGGACCTACTGTCTCAGAAGAAGGCGGATAGTTCTGATTAATGTGAAACCCACACCAGCCCAATGCCCCGGGAAAATACTTGTGCTTTTGAGTTCGTAGCAGCATTTTTCATTTTCAATCTGCCGACATCTCCTCTTCTTGAATACCATTCTGTTTCCTTGGTCATTCTATACTTTTTGGTTCTGCCAAAAATAGCATTATAATTGTAATCCATTTTGTATTGCACTTGTAAATTGTCTCAAGGAAAAGATGTTCAATTAATTTTTTTCGTAGTGTACAGATTTGAATTATTTGTTTCTTTCACCTTTCACCTTTTGAATTCGTTTGGGCCATTGACGCATTCAATTCGTTTATCATGTACCAACCTGTCCATTGTAAGAATGACTGTGCCCAGTTAAATGATTTCTATAACTTTTTTTTTTTTTAAATGTTGGTTATAAATTTACTGAAGCCAGTCAGATGTGATATATTTTTGAAGATGTTTTGTATAAATAATAGTGTACTGAATATACATGTACATCCATCAAGTGGGGCTATGTGATTTACAGGCGAAAACATTACTTTTATTGATACATTGTAGGGATTTGAACTCTATTTTCATCCCACCTTATTTTAGGAGAATGAAGAAATTTAGCTTTACCCTTATTATGAAAAATTGGATTGAGCGAAAGATTAATATGTTAAAATTGGAAAACCCGATTGAGCTGGTAAATCTTTTTTTTTAAAAAAAAATTAAAACATGTTTATGTGTTATGATTATCGATTTAAACTAGTAAAATTATTTTCATTTATACTATGACTCTAAAATGCATATTTATTATACTTAATAAACATTGAAAAATGAAAGACAAGTGGACAAATTGGGAAAATATATATTCTAAAAATATGAGTTTCATAGAAACGAGTTATAAAATACGCATGTACAATGTAAATTTTTTTATCCCAATCATTTTATTTTCTTTTTAAATTACAAGATATTTATAAACTTTTTAAATTTTTGTTTACACCTCTTATTTTCATTGAATTTAATATTTTTAACTTAATTTGCTCTTTGCTTGTTCAATTTTTTTTTTATTCTCGTCATTATATCTTGTCTTTCTAATTAAAATAGTTAATATAATCACGACCCATTGTAATCTAACCAAAGTGCTGTGAATAGATGGTGCGATTTGATTAAAAGAAAGATACATTCGTCGAGTGATTTACGCCACACTTCTAGTGAAAGGTATTTAAAACAAATCTAAACCATTGAGTCGAACCAAATTGAATCAACATAAATATTTTAAAATTGATTTAACAATAAGGCTTGGCTTGATTTTTAACTTTATCAAACTAATTAGTTTAGTTCAGGTTTTTTTTTTTACTCATTAAAACATGAATCAAATCGAACCAAATATGAGCCAAGTGAATGTTTTGCCTCTGTGCTCTTTCCTTGTATCTTATTTAGATATTATAAATGACTAGCAGATTTCAAAACAAGTTAATACAGTGATATATAACGAAATTGACAGTTTCAATATAAACCTTTAAATAATAATAGATTATAATATACTTTTAACCTTTTAACTTTATTCTAAATGAGAATTTAATTTTTCAAAAAGAAATGAAAGTTTCAAACAATAACCTTATTCTCATATCCTATACATAGTTTCCCCGGAAAGAATAAGGGAGAATCATTCAAAGTTCTATACAACAACAAAAATTATCCTAAAATTTTAACAATATACAAAATATTCTATAGTCCCAAAATCTTTAGATGTAACTAATTTTTTATGTATATTTACTAAAATGTCCTCCTTTAACAAAAATTCTCTCCCATGGCCGCAGGCATCTGAAATCCCATTGCTAATTGAAGTGCTAATGAGTGAATCATGAGTGAGTCATGAGAGCATTCGAGGATACAACCTCTTGAATTTCAAAAATTTATAGTATCACTAAATTGTTGAACCTATTTAATAAGCATATGAAAAATATTATATATATATATATATATAACTTAATGTCGATTATAAAATATTAGTAATTAATCTCTAATGCACTAGTTGTCAATCTGAAATTGTCAAATCTAATATGTCACGTTGACAACTTTAGCCTAAGAATTGACGACTGTAGGAAACTAATGGCTAATATTAGTTGTCAGTTTCCCATGCTAGAGTTGGCAATTCCTTGTGCTAAAGTTGTAAGTGGGAGATTAACAACCTTAGCTCTGCAATTAGTAACAAGCCTCTCTCAGGTATCTCGTTAGAAATGACCTAAATGACTTCAGCACAGTCAATCTCAAGAATAAAGAGACATGAAAGCAGAGTCCCATGCCACTTTCATACCCCACAGCACTGTCACACCTCGACATGAAAGCTACTTACAGCTCCTAATTTACAAGGGAACTCCTTAACTACCTCTCCATATCGGTTCTGTAGCATATGGCCCATCCACATTCATTTTAAACCAACTACTTCGGCACCTCCTGCAACTCCTTGCAATGTGTGACAAGATCAGGATTAGCCCCAGCCAAGCACGCTCAAGCTCTTATGATAAAACGTGTCTAGTTCTGTTCCAACATTCTTAACAATTTGATTATTCCTTCCCAGCCACACTGATCGACATGCCCAACTAAACCATAGACACCGAGGAGTTCCATTAATGGATTTGCCATTTCTCACATTCCAATAGATCCACTGTTGTAGCGAATTGATCCCAAACAAGGTATCACAGATTTGCGGAGGGACAACCTTCAGCCACAAGTTTCTTGCTTGAGAACAGTCCCACAAGGCATGAAGAGAATTCTCCAAGTCAGTATTATAGATACCGCACGTCCCAGATTCACATACGTTCCTTTTCCAACGAGCCATGTTAGTTAGGAGGCGGTCCTTAGTGACGAGCCAAAGAAAGAATCTACATCTATTGGGAAACTTAAGCTTCCATAATTGCTTCCATGAGGAAATTTGTCCCGAAGAATTATTTCCACTCAATTTCATATAAGCAGACCTGATTGAAAACACCCAATTTGAAGACCACCTAAAACGGCTCGCTGCTTTTGGGGCGATGTTGTTTTAATAGCTTCTTATTTAATTAATCGCATGCCCTCTTCTATTTTACACAACCAAACTCTTTATTTTGTTTCTTTCCATGTCTCTTTATTTACTTCCTTCTCGTGTCTTCGGATATACTTGTTTTGTTCATGATCAAATCCTTGGCAAATATAAACTTGCAGAAAAACCCACCAAATGCGTTTCTCTTAGGTAATCCTGTGTCCAAAAAGGATGTTGGTGTTCCTCTCCTATCACCAATAACTACTATGTCTCTGCCAATGTCACCTTCTTTGAGAATTCTCCTTGGTCACATTTGGTTACTAGAAAATAATGGAATTAAGTGAATTAAAAAAACCAAAACAAAAATGAATTAAATTACTCATTTCCTCGTAGTAAATATTATAAAACTCATTAATATATATTATAAATGTGAAATTATCACACCTTCTAAAAATTTCATGATTTTTAACCTTATAAATTAAATTACTCCATTTTATAAATCTGTTTACCTATCATTTTTAATCATCTTATTTTTACATTTATTTTTTTAATATATTTCATTCTATTTCTTTTTAGTAAGCAATGACTCTTATTTTACCATTTCTATCTCTAAACAATCTGTGTGAGATCCTTCCTCTTCTATATCTTAATCTACCCACAGTCATGTAATCCCTATCATTCAAACATACCAACGGTGTCCTCACCATTCACCATCAACTGGCCCTAGTGATATCGCTATAGACTTGCCCCCTACTGATAAACCACTATTTGGCTTATATTTTGATGCACTTTATTGCGTGAAGTGAATTAATACATCTTTGGATTTGGGAAAATCATACATTATTATCTCACTTGTTGTTCATATATGGAAATCAAGAAATTGAGAAATTGGTAAAAGATATGATATCAGCTGGAATAATCTGACTCAATAGAAGTCCTTTTTCTAGTCCAACATTGCTACTTAAGAAAAAAAGACAAAAGTTGGTATTTTGTGTGGATTATAGGGCTTTGAAAAAATCACAATACAAGACAAATTTTTCATATCAGAAATTGATGAGTTATTAGATGAACTTGAGGGTTCACAGAACTTTTCTAAGTTAAATGTACAATTGTGAATGAGACTCATAGGAGTGAATTATATATATGAACGTAGAAATAACAACACATAAGGATAAGAATAAATCATTTATAATTTTTCAAGTATAAGCCACTCTTCATATTGTCAGTTCCAGTAAATACATGCAGAAGCTTGGAACGTTCCTGCACATCTACAAAAGGATTCAAAACATACAAATGCAGTTATGCCTTGTAAGAGTGCATTGCACATAGAGGTGAGCATAGCAACACATTTGCCTGAGATTAAATCATTTAAGATTTTTCTAGTAAGCCACAAAAGTTTTTGATAAAAAATATGATTCATGTAAAGGGACTCCAAACAGTGTGGACATAGAAAGTCTTAACTGCAAATTAAAATGTAAAACTTTTTTATAAATTTTAGCACACTTGGAGGTAGTATCAAAATATAAAAATTGATTGACCCTCATAGCAGCAGCGCATTTACACAGAGATTGATGCAATCCAACACATCCCTATCAAATCAATTAATAAAGCTCACTCTCCCATATAATTTATGATGGGTCATAGTGCTTACATGTAAGGGACTTTTGAAAAGCAATGACAACTTAGGCTTCCATGTGATCAGTCTTGAAAGTGCACGACATTGACGTAGTAGTAAATTCAAAGTATTTCGGGCCACAGGAAGATAATGATCTTTGTTAATTAAGAAAATAAATAAGGATTTTTAAAAAATATTTAACAATTTAATAAAGCAAATAAATGAGAAAATCAATAAAAGTGATAATAATGATAAACCAACTAATTAGACAAGTAACAGGGATCAGGATTCACCCATTAAAATAGATTATCTCAGTTCAATTAATTATCTTTCATTTTTTTATAGTAACAATTATTTCTAAGGTATCTTAATTACCTTTCAATATATTAAGATATATTTGATTAAACAGTTCTCACTAAATTCTACTATCTAACTAAATTATGAAAGTACAATCTAAGTCATCACAAATTTTTAAATTATTTTTAATTTAATTATCTGTATCAATCTTTCTAGATTTAGATAAGTTCTTCACTTTTCAGTTCATTAATCTATCCACAAACAGACTATATATTGGCCACATATATAAAAAGTAACTAAAATGAGATAGATGAATAGAAAAAGCAAACATAAATTTCATAAACAAAAT